TTTGAAAAATTTAGGCCCGATTTTTCGACACTTTCCCAGAGGTTTCGCAAGGGAATGGGTGTTTTATCGAGTCGGAAATTATAAAATTCATTAAAAATTCGAAAAATTCGAAAAAATAAGAAAAAAATTGAAGATTTTAGGGCGATTTCCGGTGGACATAGACTTTCTGGATGCCTCGGCTCTTGGTGTGGATTTACGGTAAACCGGGCGCACAGGCGGGATAGCGGAGTGTCGTTGTATTCTAATTTTCTAGGATTTCTAGCTGATTTCAAGCAATAAACAATTTAAACATAGGTTTAAAATGTGTAGAATTTCAATTTTCATCTTTTAAAATTTTAAAAACGATGATTCAACCTCATTTCACACATAAATTTTGCTTTTCAGCTCCGGGGTAGATTTACGCTAAACCGGGCGCACTAGCCGGGATATGCGGAGTGTCGTTGTCGGCTCGTGATTTTTTCGTCATTTTCAACATTTTCAGACCCTATTTCCGGCTAAATTCCCGGAATTTTTCGAATTTTTCTATGTCAAAATTGGGCGGAGCCACTGCGAGAGTCGTCAAAGGTGCTCTTAAAGCCAGGCAAACCAGGGTAGGCTTTGAAAAAAAATCAAAAATTGAAATTTTTTTTTGAAAAAGTTTCAGAGCGGCTCTCACACTGACAAATGAGGCGGTGAGCAGAATAAGAGTTCTGCTGGCACAACAAAACAATGCAAATGCGCTGAAAGTAGGGAAATTTTTTTAAAAATTCTGGAAAGTTTGATTTTTCCAGATCGGAGTCCGCCAAAAAGGCTGTAATGGGTTGACGTATACACTGGAATATGCCCGGGAAAAGCAGAAATTTGATGAAGAAGTTGAGCAGGTGGATTTTTCAAAATTTCTGAAAAAAAATCTGAAATTTTTTTTTTTTGAGCTGAAAATTCTGAAAATTCAATTTTTCGCTAAAAATCGAGTTTTTAGAGCCAAATTTCGCTGTTTTGAGCAAAAAATAATGTTTAAACTACTGAAAATAAGCTCAGAAAGCTGGAATTTGAAAATTTGTTTTTGAAAAAATTGAAAAAAATTTTTCTTCAAACATTTGATTTGTAGCCAATTTTTGTCATTTAAAAGCTGAAAATAATGCTGAAAATGCTGAAAATGTGCTCAGAAAGCTGGAATTTTCGAAAAAATTTTTGCAATTTTTCCAAAAAATCGATTTTTCTGGTTTAAAAAAATTCCAAAATCCAATTTTTTTGGCTCAAAAAAATCCCGAAAATTCAAATTTTCAGCCTAAAAATGTTATAAAAATTCTCAATAAGCTGTCAGAATCGTTTGAAAAATTTTTTTTTTTTTAATTAGGCACCGCAATGAAAGGGGGCGGGGCGACCAAATTTTTCTCCCCTTTTCAGAAATCCATCTTTGAAGGCTTGTACCGGGCGTTAGAAACCCATTATTTTTTTGGTGAGAACTTGTCCCTATGTAATCGACTACGCTGAATCCAATGAAATTATCAGTTCTTCGATAACTTTATTATTTTGATTCGAAAACTTCGAAAAATAGAAGTGGGACTGACAAAGTGGACTAAAAGTGTTGGATGGAAGTTCGCGCCATTAGATTTTTTAATGGATTCTGATAGTTTTTGAACTGGGGGATTGGATTTTGAAATAAAATCAAAATTCTAACGACGCCCTTGTTTCACAATTTTCAGCCAAAGTTCCAGCTAAAATAAATAAAAAATTTCAGCGATGACCCCAATTTTTTTTTGCATATTATGGTAAAACTAAGTCTTGTGTATACTTCTGCCAATTTTCAGAAAGATTGAATACCTCTAAGTAGTTTTGATACTCATCCGAAAATTCCAAACTTTCAAAATTTTCAGTTTTTGGAAGTTTTGAAGGTGACACAGGTGAGCGCCACCGATTTTCTTTTCACCATAAGATTCTACGCAAAATTTGCCACTAAGAGCAATTATAATTAAAAAATTCTATCGACGCCCTTAATGTGTTATACGTCTGTTTCCTTATCTATCATGGAACAACTTGTAAAAAATAGGAAAGAGGCAACACCGGAAGGAGACGGCAGGCAATGAAAAGTCGTCCTTTCCTCACTCTCATCTATTGCTTCCAAGAGAAGTGCAGCGGTGGCAGACTGGTTAGTGGGCGCGCGCACCGATCTGAAGACCGAAGTTCGCATCTCCCATGGGGTTTTTTTGTTTTTTTTTTCCTTTTTTCAATGGGCCACGGTGTTTGCACAAAACATCAATAAATTATAGTAAAATTTTGAAGTCTGAATGTTATAAACTTATTCTTTTCGTTTTTTTACCCTAAAAACTGCTTTTCCGACAAACCAAGATGCGATTTTGATGAAAAAACAGCGCTCGGAATAGCGCCACAATGAAACCGCGCCGCAGCTAAGCCCCGCCCACTTTTCTGCGCACCGCAAAAAAATGAGGAGAAATTCAGTACATTGAGGTCTGGTATAAAAGGGGCTGTAACTCGGGATTGAATGAAGATTTTTCCCTGAAATTTAGGGAATGGACTTCTATAAAGTAGGAGAATACAATCCAACAATAAAAACTGGGAAAAGTCTATTTTGAAAATTTTGTTGTGGTGCCTATTTTTAATTCAAAAATTTCAAATTTTTAGGTCAAAAAATTGATTTTCCAGCTCAAAAAATCCCCAAAAAATCACATTTGCTATCTCAAAAAATTCAGAAATTTTCAAATTTTCTGGCTCAAAAACCGTTAAAATTCAAATTTTGGCTCAAAAAATCAATTTTCCAGCTCAAAAACTTCCATTTTGCAGGACGGAATCAAAGTTTGGATCGAGCCCAAAGCCCAATTATCACTGCTGGGCTCCGAAATGGACTATGTCACTGATAAGCTCTCGTCGGAATTCGTTTTTCGAAATCCCAACATTAAAGGAACGTGCGGATGTGGCGAATCGTTTAGCATCTGAAACACGATTGCTCAGCTTAATTTTTTGTCTGAAAATCAGAATTTTCAAAACAGAACGTGTACATTTTTGATTTACTAGAGAGAGAATAAAAATTGGTAGATTTTTTCCAATTTTAATCCCAAAAATGTGTTAAAATGAGCAAAAATGAATGAAAATCGTCAAAAAACGAGAAAACTATAGAAATTTTGAAAATTTTGAGCAAAAAATACGGATTTTTAACGAAAAATGAACTTTTTGGGTTTGGGTCTGCTAATTATGAGAATGTAGTTTGTAGTCTAGCAGACCCACAGTCTAGCAGGCCAACAAAGTGGAAAATCCCCAAAATGAGTGAAAAATGGTCAAAAAACGGGAAAATCAAGTGTTGGTCTGCTAATTGTGAGAATGTAGTTTGTAGTCTAGCAGACCCACACCTTGAACGGAGGACCGAAACCTAACCCAACTCAATTTTCGCCTAAAATCCGTTTTGCTCAAATTTTCCAAAATCTCCCGATTGGGCCTGCTAGACTACAAACTACATTTTCATAATTAGCAGACCCAAATCACAATTTTGCTCATTTTTCATCTAGAAACTTTGTTTTTTTTTATTTTGGCTACAAAAACTACAAACTACAACTTTAAATTGATTTTTCTTTGATTTTTTTTTCACTTTTCAAAACTTTTGCTCTTAAATCGGTCATTTTTCCGATTTTTCACTTGTGGTCTACTAATGTTGAAAATGTAGTTTGTAGTCTAGCAGACCAACAAAGTGAAAAATCCCCGAAAATGAGTGAAAAATCGTTCAAAAACGGGAAGATCAAGTTTGGGTCTGCTAATTGTGAGAATGTAGTTTGTAGTCTAGCAGGCCAATATATAGAAAAATATCAATAAAAATAGGAAAAAATCGCCAATTTTCAAATTTTTTGGCGATTTTTTAATTGAAAAAAAAATTACAAAAAAAGAGGATTTTTTTTGGGAAATTCCAAATTTTTGGAATTGAAAAAAAAAATTCTGGAAAAAATGAGACAAGAGTGGGGATGGCAACATGATGTGTATCGGTGTATTAAGGAGGAGGAGATGAAAATGGCTGTAAATTGCTGAAAATTTGGGAATTTGGAGCTTTAAAAATTCGAAAAAAAATCAGAAATTTAGAATTTTTCAAAAAAAAAAAAAATTGCACAAAAAATATAAATTTCTAGCCGAAATTTCAATTTTAGGACTAAAAAAAAAATCAAGAATTTCGGGAAAAAAAATGGCTGGCTGAAATTATGAAAACTTCGATCAGAAATTAGCAGTTTTTCAGTTTTTTTCTCCAAAAAAGAAAAAATTGATTTTCAGCCAAAAATTCAATTTTTTAAAGCTGAAATTCAGCATTTTTAGTAGTTTATTTTTCCGAATTTTTAGGGGAAAAATGAGCAATTTTCAGCCTCAAATTTCAAATTTTTCAGGCTGAAATTCGAAATTTTAGCCCTGAAAATCGCAAAATTTCATTCGAAAAAATCCGATTTTCAGACAAATTTCTAGCTAAAAAAAATCGATTTTCAGCAAATTTTTCCAGCCAAAAACAATGAAAATGAGTAGAAACTATCGAAATAAATATAGATCAAAATTGGCTGGAAATTGTAAAATTTCAGCCAGAAATTACGAAAAAAGGATGATTTGGGGGGGGAAATTAGAGTAAAAATAGAAATTTTCAGCCATTTTTCCAATCAAAAATAGGTAAAAACCAGAGGAAAATTTAAGAAAATAAACAAAAACAACTGCAAATAATGATTTTCAGACAAAAAATAACAAGCAAAAATTGGGGGGAGAATTAGAGTAAAAAGAGCGATTTTCAGCCAATTTTCAGCCAAAAAAATGGATAATTCAGGTGAAAATAGGTGCAAATAACGAAAAAATAGATCGATTTTCAGGCAATTTTTGGGGGAATTTTCAGCCAAACTAGGTTAAAAATTGGGGAACAAATAGAGTAAAAATGACGATTTTCAGCCATTTTTCATCGGATTTTCAGCCAAAAATCAGTTCAACGCAAAGAATTTGTGGTTGGCGACGTCTTCGAACGATGGACGGAGCTCTGGATCGAGAATGAGCACGTATTTGAGCATTTCGAAGAGGGGAATCGCCTCGAAATCGAATTTCTTCAAATTCATGTGCAATGGGACGGTGGGCTCGAACTTCTTGGCGGTTCGCTGGAGGATCCCGTTGTCTTTACGGACATGATCCGAACTGAAAATATCGATTTTCAGCCAATTTCAGAGTCATTCTCAGCTCGAAAATCGGCATTTTTAGTGCTTTTTGGGGTCAAAATCATTGATTTTCAGCCAATTTCAGAGTCATTTTCAGCTCAAAAATCGGAATTTTTCGGCTTGAAATGTTAATTTTCAGATTTTCTCGACTTTTTACAGTCGAAAATCTCGATTGGCAGCCATTTTCAGCTCGAAAATCGCCATTTTTTGGTGATTTTTGGGGTCAAAATATTGATTTTTTGTCAACTTCAGCTCGAAAATCGGCATTTTCAGTGATTTTTTGGGCTAGACAAACCTAATTTTCAGATTTTTTAAACTTTTTACAGCTAGAAATATCGATTTTCAGCCATTTTCAGCTCGAAAATCGACTTTTAAAATCATTTTTAGAGTCGAAAGCCTCGTTTTTCTGCCAATTTTGAGTCAAAAATCGATCTTTTCAGTGATTTTGTCGGTAGTGATTTTTGGGTCAAAATCATCAATTTACAGCCAAAAATTTTGCAGATTTTCGATGTTTAGGCATTTTTCTTTCAATTTCCACCCTAATTTCAGCTAATTTCAGCGGTTTTGGATCGAAAATTCTAGATTATTGCCATTTTTAGGTCAAAAATCAATTTCCAGCCAAAATTTCCAGATTTTCAGCATTTTCAGCTCGAAAATCGACTTTTAAAATCACTTTTAGAGTCAAAAATATCGATTTTCAGCCATTTTCAGCTCACAAATCGACTTTTAAAATCATTTTTAGAGTCGAAAGCCTCGTTTTTCTGCCAATTTTGAGTCAAAAATCGATCTTTTCAGTGATTTTGTCGGTAGTGATTTTTGGGTCAAAATCATCAATTTACAGCCAAAAATTTTGCAGATTTTCGATGTTTAGGCATTTTTCTTTCAATTTCCACCCTAATTTCAGCTAATTTCAGCGGTTTTGGATCGAAAATTCTAGATTATTGCCATTTTTAGGTCAAAAATCAATTTCCAGCCAAAATTTCCAGATTTTCAGCATTTTCAGCTCGAAAATCGACTTTTAAAATCACTTTTAGAG